GGCATTGTTGTTTTGTACCTGTGTTTGAGAGACAAATTTCTGTCCATTAGTCTTGTCTGTGTTTCCCTGCTCCACCAGTTGAATTGAATGTCTTTTCCACAGCAGATTATTGCACACAAAGTCTGTGTAAAGGAAATTCAGAGAATTGCTTCTAAACACATTAAAAAAGTTAGAAATGTATTGCTGAAAACACGTTACAAAGACTGTGAACGATGTAGTTCTGAATTGTGGAGTTAGACCGTTAAAAAAAAGTTTTCACCATTTTTGCGTTCAGGATTTTTTTGGAGGGCCTGAAATCATGTCTCGATGATGCACTGGAGCCACTGAGCATGGCCTCTCCCCTAACACTATAAGAGGTGTGTTCGGCCAAAGACTATAGAATACCCAAGACATGTCACTCGTATAGTTTTGAATGGGGAAAAATGCAACACTCAATATGGCCGCTCAATCGCAGAAAGCCCCGCCTTCTGAATGAAAGAGCCAATCGCTAATCGGTAAAGTCAGCGCGTCACTGCAGCTGCCGTTAGAAGTCCGGGTTGCTATAGAAACAGTCAGCATTCTGAGACACGCGCTTAGGACTGCGCAGGCTGGTCTAGCCTGAAAAATAAGCTTTTTATAATGCTATTTGAGCAAAAGAAACAACATTTATGACACAGTTGTTGTCAGATTTCTTTGGTGATTTCAAATATGAAATTTAATCGTAAGCTTAGTGAACAGTTTTGGAGAATTTGATGTTTCCCCATACAAAGAGATAGGAGCTGCACTTGCATGCCCAAGAGGCGTTTCAAAGATGGCCGCCGAGTGACATGACTTGTCTTAAAGAGACTTTGGTTCGGCTTGAAGCAGCGCTGGGCAGACCTATCGGTGTATGACATCAAAGTACTGCAAGAGCGATAAGAGACCAGACGCTTCTTGTGCTTTCAAATCACTCTTGCGGTACTTTGATGTCATACACTGATCGTTCTGCGCAGCGCAGCTTCAAGTCGAATACGCCTAATAACTAGAGCGCATTAGTGGTGTGTTTGATCAGGGTTGGAGCTAAACTCTGCAAGGCATTGACCCTCCAGGGCAAGATTTGAGGAACCTTGCTTTAAGTCATCTAAGGGGGTGTTTATACGTCACCTTTTTCAACTAAAAATGGAAAACTTTTGGCCATTCATTTACATGACAACATTGTTTTGTGTGCCTGAAAATGCAAACTTACATTACGTGTTCAGTCTACAGGAATGTGTATGCATACAGGCGCGTAGTGTTTCTTGATAAAGTGGCATCATCAACTACTGGCCTGGCATGCATAATACAGCGTTTTTAGTTGTGTTTGCAGATTCGTGTAAATGGGCAATTGTTTTGACAACGTTCATGCCCATATGTGAAACTTTTCAAAAGTGCAAGGGAAAAACTTTTCCGTTTTTCATACAGTCATTGCTGTGTAAACGTACCCCAAGTCAGTGTTTAACATCCATGGTCCTTGGTAACCCCAGAAGTACATAATTTCAGGTCTTGGAGTGTCTACTAGTGCACTAAAGAGTTGGATCAAGCATGTTTGATTAGGGAGACTTATAAAATGTTCAGTGTTGGGGGTTTTCCAGGTCCAGGGTTGGGAACCCTGTTCTAGGTCTGTAGAACAGGGGTGTCCAAACCTGCTCCTGGAGGGCCACCTTCTTGTTCCAACACACTTCACTGGAAGTTTCTTGTGATCCTGAAGACCTAGATTAGCTAGTTTTGGTGTGCTTAATTAGGGCTGGAGCTAAACTCTGCTGGAAGGTGGCCCTCCAGGAGCAGGATTGGACACTACCGTTGTAGAATGTATGGGAAAAGTCAGAAGCAGTTGGATTTGGCTCTGAATCAAGACGCTTTGTCACTTGCCCTAGAGCAGGGGTGCCCAACCCTGCTCCTGGCGATCGACTGTCCTGCAAAGTTTAGCTCCAACTCTAATCAAAGACACCTGCCTTTAATTTTTAAGTGATCCTGAAGACCCTAATTAGTTGCTTCAGGTGTGTTTGATTAGGGCTGGAGCTGAACTTTGCAGGACAGTCGATCGCCAGGAGCAGGGTTGGGCACCCATGCCC